CTACATTCTTGTTTCACCACAGAATAAACCTAAATGTTCAGTCCAGCTTTATCCTGCGCAAGTAAGACCTTGGTGTAAACCACTATCTGTAACCCTTTCTGTAACTATTTCTCCTCTCCTCTGCCACTCTGTGTTCTGTTTTCTGTCATCTGAGGCCTAGCTCTGCTGCATAACTGTGGTTATGACTTCCAAGAAAGTTGATGAGTTGTGATAAAAGGCTGTATTAAAGTCTACAGAGTAAAGCCATGGAAGATAAGAAACAAAATTGCAGACGGAGGTCAGGCTTTTGAGGTGCAACTCACTGGCAGCTCAAGGATTCAACAGGAAAATGACCAAAATGCAAAGGTATACCATCCCAAAGGGAAAAAAATCGCAGGAGTTGGAAGATGGCAAATGTACAGCAGATGATCTGTTCGAGGCAGCAGGCAGAGGGAGGACAACCCTTCCTCACTCAATGGGCATCTAACTGGCTAGCAAAGATCCTCCAAGCGTCTTTTTAGAGGTGGGGAATACACCAGTACTTCACCTACTTGTTAAATTCTAGCATATCTCCTGCTTATAGTATCTTTGCACATGTCAAAAGATGTCTGAACCGAGTAATCCACAACAAACCACTCTGGAGAGCCACAGAAGCTACTGCCTTTTCACACCCTCTACCCACCCCTGCTCGCAGCTCTCACAGATTATGGTAATGGTAAGTGCCTCGCTCGTGACCACAGGAAGATGTTGGTCTGTAATGTGCTTGCTCCAGCTGCCTCCTAGCTCTGCTTATTGGGCCTTCCCTTTCTTTACTGACCTCAGCCAGTCATCACAATGTTTTAACCTGTTAACCTTCCCGTTTTACAGTGTCCTTTACATTCAGTACTCTGTCTAGGACAATCCACAAATAACGTCACTCTTTTTTGGCTATGTGGGAAAGTTACAGCAGATAAATGATAATTCTTAGGGACAAATTTATTTTAAGAAGTCTCATACACCACTCTTCAGGGATGCATGGGAGCTGCCTTTGCTTTAAGGACCACCACTTCAGAAATACTCACAAAAACATAGACGTGAAACGTTCATAAGACTTGTCCTCTGAAAATAATTTGCTAAGAATAAATGTTAATAAATAAATAGATAAAAAACAAAAAAAGTAAAGTGACTTTCAAACAGTAAATAGTTAAACTCTCATAATCCTGCCAGTAGATGTTATCCCACAATGCATAAACCAGATCGGTCCCAGACTCTGTAACAGGTAAAACTAGAAGAGCTCAAGGTACTTACTCTCCAGTTTTGATGAATCTTAGGCAGCTTGTAAGGCTGTCATATGTGCCTGGCAGCAAAATTAAGTTGCTCTTATTCCAAGTTCCACAATGTCTTTCCTGTGATAGGAATCCTTGAGATGAAGCTCCCAATCCAAAATTGCACCCTCCTGTGGTTATCGGAGAAAATAAATTGAACACAGCTGACTGAAATTATTCTGATTCAATTATCTCATGAACACTTCAGCTAACCACATCTATCAGCCTCCTAAACCCATAAATCATAGCAGTCTCTGTTGGGAAATTCCAAATTGATGTGGCCCGTCTGAATAAAAGAAGGCAGTAGGCATCTGACAGCCTTGAGGAGCAGCCTTGTGCAAGTTGATTGGAATCTCTAGCTGTATTAATCTTAATAACCTCAGGTAGCTTCCCCCCCACAGCTTATATCTTTCTGTGCAAGCAGTAAGGGAGGGAACAATGCGGCTCCCTCATTCTCTCCAGCTGAGACTGTTTTCTGATGAATATGAACATGTCAGTCATGCTCAGCCTTCATCCATAGCTCTCCTCAGCGATGACCTGTCTAAAACCTGTAGAACTTAAAACTGTGATTTGAGCCTTGAGGAATAGGACACTGGAACGGAAACCAGATTGCATCCCAATACAGCAGCATGAAGACTTTAAAACAAAAGCAGTTTTTCCCTCTGTTTTAAACGATAAGCCTGTGAACTGTAATAGAAAATTGTATATCATTTATCCAAGTTATTCAAACAATAGACTGAAGATATTCAAATGGTATTAACATTGAAAATAGATGATTAAAACATAGATCAGAAATATGCATCTATCTAGCAAACTGAATCCAAGTAACTGTCACTCACTACTGACAGTATGGTCAGAACAGTTGTCAAAGCTCTCTGGTATTTGCTTTGCAAAGGATTAAACAGATCCTGTTGTGATGAAGCTTTCATTTGTGCTTTTGCTAACAGACTTTTCAATAATAATATCTCTACCAGATTTTTTCCATTTTATCCAGATTAAATGAAATAAAGCAAAAAGCAACAGCATTATAGTATCTATGGCTCCATCTACCTACCAGTTGCTATCAGACATGTATGTGCCCAAGCCTAACTCTTAGGTAGATGCAAATGTGTTATATAACCACTCCTCTGAGAATAAGGAAGCATTCTTAATTTTAAGATGAAAAGATGCTTTCCTGTTTATGTTGTTATTCATCATCTCGAGTAGCATAATCCTTTTCTGGAAGGAGTTTTAGGTAACTTCTGCTCAAAATACTGTATATATGCATACTGAGACATAGCTGAAAGTACTCAAGCAAGTGGTTTAGCCCACAAGTTGCATGCTGAGAACACACATGATCTCTTTTCCAGTCTCTGCAAAGTCAAATTACAGGTATTCTCTTTCTCTTTCTTCCTCCCCCCGCCCCATTTTCCATGCCCAGAGTGAAAGAGATGGATCATTGCTTTCTTTAGCAGAAGCTCTCTTTCCCATCATCAGAAATAAAGAAAATGAAGTTTTTCTCTTCATATGTGTTTGAAAATAAGTTGCATTTATAATTAAATAATATGTTCTACTAATCCTGTTTGTAATTGAGAAGTATAAGCTATGCCAACCATCAGATTAGAATTGTGGCTAATCCTTATAACGCAATGCATCAGCCACGCTTCGTGACATGGACGTGATAACTTCATTTCTGATATACTTGTTAGAATTTTGATTGGTGCTTATAAAAAATTCAAGTAAGACAAATATATTGCCACATAAAACCAAATAAAACACTCACAAACCGGCTAAAATTTCTTGATTCTGAAATATGTTTCCTAATTCAACTCCCTGTACTGCTGTTTCCATATAGTACTCCTCAGCTCTCTGCAAATTTTTAGAAATTGGCAGTGCTTCAGAGTATCTGTCTGCCAAGTCCATTACCACCTGAGGATTCAGCTCATCCACACTTGCTGATTAGTATGTGGTATCTTAGGATTTTCCAAGCTTTCCCATACTCTTCCAAATTCATTCTCCGTTTAAAAGGTTTTCCATAGTTCCTCCTGCCAAAATCCTGAACTCAGGGCAGAGTCACAACAAATGGATAATTTGCTGAAAAGGTACGTTATAGGTCCTCCCTGCTCAGCCCAGCTGCTTGGCAGCTGCTGCTATAGCTCCAGGGCAACAGCAACCCCACATATTTGCAATGCATCTTCACATGGGGAGCTTGGCATTTGGATTTAGTGAGACTCATTCATCTCTTTCTCCTCGAAGCTATCTTCTGTCCTGGAGCACCAAGATCCCTTTAGGAAGTTGTGGCTGCTGTAGTATCAAAACGGAAGGGGTCAGGGCTTGCTCAATAACACCTCAACATTGTTTTGCTGCAAGGTAAGTCAGTATGGAAGGAAGCATGCAGCAGCTCTGATGCTTTAATGATTATATCTAATATCTTGAGTTGTTCACACTGGGACACTCCCCTAAAGGCACACACAGGACATACTTTTGAAACTCTAACTGGTGTGACTCAAGAAACAGTCACCTTGAAATGCTCTCTAGTTCTGCTCCCTAGGGTTGCTCACCTTATGTGTTTGCTTGGCACTGAACGTACTCCAACTGCTCCCATCAGCAGTTACAACCTGACCTCTGAAAAGGGCAGAGATCAACTGGAAACTCTACCCCCTTCAAACATATCAGTTGGGGATGATAACTTCCGGATCAACAAGAATATGTGCTCTCATGCCCAAATTTGGCAACAACTATCATGCACATATCATCTCCAGTGATAGAATTAAAATGCTACAATAATAAACCAGGAATTCTTTAGCACCTACATCAATTAACATGGGGAGTTTACTACTTAAGATTTTAAGGACACAAAAGACTAACATGTAAAATTTTAAGGACAGAGCTAAAACAAACAAACAAAAAATCTACTTTTTCTTTTTTTTACCTCCATATCTTTCTCTTTACTTCATTTACTGCCAATTTTTTTTGTCTTTTCTATTTTTGTTTTCCAAGCTGATCTTTCCCTGATCTTGTCTTTTTCAATTCACTTTTCATTCCGTATTTGTCAGTCTTTCTTTTACTATTTCTTCCCCTATGACTTTTTCTTTTTCTCCAAATCTTCTTTTTGTCATTTTCTTCTCATTTCACTAGTCCCTCACTGACCAAAGAGGCAGGTGGAAATGAGCAGGAGCAATACACAAATTGATCTGGAGACTATTCATGACTTTCGAATTCAGCCTGGCTTTCCTATGAAGGGAGCTGCTTCTGTAAAAATTGACTTACACTTTTCTTCCAGATAGTTCACTTGCTATTCCAGAAACCACAGGCTTTCTGCAAGCTCCGAATGGCACCCATGCCACAGGTTCTACAAAGTTTTAAGTACTTTCTGCATATCCCCACAAAAAGCTAAAACTCTCACTATCCTCTGTAAAGCCAAATAGTGGTTACACATGCTAATGGTAAACGCTGAAGTTTTATAGCATTATGAACTTGTATCCAGTTACTGATCTTCACAATCATCACCACCTTCTTTTCACTGCATCAGCATGTCAGGCACAAGTGTATACCTTAGGGTGTCTTACCATGATTCGGACTACTGTTTAAGGCTATCCTGAATAAGTTGCAAGACATCAGCATTTCAGTCTCAAATACTGGAAGAGGTACCAGGCTGTAAGATTCAGCAATTCCAAGTGAGTAGACAAATACACAGCTAGCATTTTCAGTGATAACTTCAAAAATGCAACTGTCAGGTAGCTTAATTCTTTATAAAATATCATTCTTTATTAATTTAAGTGCTGAACATAATCCATGCACCTTTGTGTGACAAATGGGTAAGAAGAAAGGGAAATGAGTCTAGTACTGAAGGCTTTTTTGAATTTGAAGTTAGCATCATTTTTACTTAGGAGAGAAACAGATTGTTTTTTTTGAACTTCTGGTTCAATGGCCAAGACTTCTATTGACCTCAGTGAGCCTTAGATCAAGCTCAGAATCTTTAAGAAAGTATTATCAATTCCTTTCTCCTTCAATAACTCACATCTGTGAAATAAAAACACCACATCTTAAACATTTTAGCAGTTTCACACCAAGCACATAATATTGAGTTGGTGACAAAGCAGAGATTATCAACACTGGATCTGGAATAAAACAAGTTTTTAGACTGCAACATTGACAATTTGACACCTTTATGGGATACTAGAATTCACTTTTTCAAAACTAAAAACTATTAAAGCTTCTTACCTGGATGTAGTCTGCAAAGAAAAAAAAAAAATCATTTTACAGAAGTGTTTGTTTTGAAAACATAGTAATTGTGCTCCTACCAGCGAGAATATTTGACAGCATCAAATAGTATTGTCTATGAAACATCACAACAACCCAAGGCATTAAGATCAGTCAGAACATGACTTGAATTTCAAGAGAGGTGACGGACTCCACTGTACAGAAATCAGTTTGTCTCCATAGTCTCACTGCCAAGGAGGGTTTTGTAACAAAGCAGACAGCTTCCAGAAATAATACTGGGATTTTGTAAGATGTTTCTCATCTGAGACATGAGGGCTTTCTAAAATACCTTAAAACACAACTTATAACCAAAGTAAAGAACTATGGGAGATAAAAGTGCAGGAGTGAATGTGATATCTCAACACCAGAGACAAAGCTTTGGAGAATACATTATTATTTTTAACTTCTATTTTCTTCCTATACTGACAAATAGCATGCGTCTAGGGAGGCAGGTAAAGATAGGACAGGCATAGAGGGATTCTTTGCCAGTATTCTTTGTAGCGTCCAGTGCTTCATGGTTGAAAAGGATACCCTGAGATCCTGAGACAGAGGTGCTGCCTTTGTATTTAGCAGCCTTTGGTGGATTCTTCTATCAAGAATTTGTCCAGTTACTTCAACTCATGTAAACTTTAGCATTATAACATTTTTTTTTAATATATATATTGTGTGTGTGTGTGCACGTATGTGCATTAAAAAGGAATGTCATAGCTCAACTGCATGGCTGTGAAGACCACATCATTTTGTATGTTTTGAGCCACCACCTGCTGGTTCCATTTAATAACATCTAGTTCTTGTATCAGAAGACAGTGAACAAACACTCCCTATTCATCCTTTCGCCCTGCCACTTGTGATTTTATGGACTTTTATCATTCCCTCTCAACCATCTGCCTTTCAGTCTATTTAGTTATCCTCATACAGGTGCTGTGTGCTATTCATCATTTCTGTCATCCTTCTGTAAAACCTTTCCCAATTTTACTACATCACTTTTGAGATGAAAGAAATCAGAACTACACGTAGTATTCAAGATGCATGTACACCATGGATTTACACAATGGATTAACAAGGCTCTGTTTTCTTCTCTATTTGCTTTCCAGTAATTCTTTACATTTTAATTAGATTTTTAACCTCTATTAAGCCAATGCTTTTGAAGAGCTATTATAACCCCAAGATCTCACTTACAAGCAGTAATATTTAACTGCTAATGACCACCAAAGTATACGTAAAATTACTCTTTTCGCCCATATCCGTTACTTCACATTTCCTACACTGAATTTCACCTATCATTTTATCATCCAGGCACTCAGTGTTGTGAAAGGCCCTTCCATAATTCTTCAGTCATCTTTACTACTCTGAACAGCATTTGCAAACTCTGTCATTTTTCTATGCAGCTCTTTTTCCCAAAAGGTCACAAATACAATGTAAAGCACAGGCCTGAGTACAGATCCTTGTAGAACTTCATTGGTAATTGCTTTCTGTTGTGAAATGTGATGATTTATTCCTGCCTCCTATTTCTTAGCTTTTAACCAATTGTTTTATCCATCTGAGGACCTTTCCTCTTATCCTACAGCAGCTTTCTTTCTCTAACAGCTTGCGGTGAAACCTTGTCAAAAGCCTTCCCTTTATGAAAGTCATTTTCATATTGCTGTGAGTGCTGAACACACAATGCAGATTCCGCTCTAGAGATAGCTAAAAATCATTAAAATTTAACCCTGCCTGCTCTCTTGCTTCTACTGTAACACATTTCATTCAAATTTGACCTGCTACTCCCTTCCCTCCCACAGTTCATCCCTCATCTTCCTCCCTTACAATGTGATATTATAAACATTTACCAAAAGGCCGATGACACTAAAATAAAAGAAAAATATATTATTTGTTTGCAGATAGAGCTTTCCAGCTTGTATAAAGTTACAATACTAAATGAAATGCAGTACCTCAAGATTAGCCCCAAATCGGTCCCACATTTTATTACATGTTAAAACCAAGCACCACATATGGTTACATAATTTCCTGTCACCTTCACACTGTAAACCATACACTTTAAAAGACAATAAAACTTCATTAGATCTTTATTGCCAATGTAAACAAAGCTTTAAAGTGTTCTGCTGCATACTAATGATACACTGCAGGATTTTTCGTGTGGGGAAAAAAGTAAGTTGTCTGAAGATTGAAAGCTCCTCTTCTAAAGCTACATCCCAATCAAGGATTTTGAAATTCAGACAGGTGAAGCACGACTGCTTTGGAAACGTAATTTTTCTTGCAGTATACAAGTGAATAGCTCATGCCCAGTAGCAGATTGAGACAATCTGAAGTAGCAAAGTTTAATATCTTAACACAGAAAAACAGACCATCAGACTTTCCAACGGAAGCATTCCCTCTGGGGCAGACAGGCATCGCTATACCACAAACACAAACAGCAATACATGTGGCTTAATCGAATGACTTCACTTCTTTGAGTTCTTCCAAATAAGCTCTTTAATAAGCCAAGAATGGAATTCAACTTTCATCTTTTCTGGACACTTTGGCTTACAACAGTCAGTTACGCTCTCAAAGTGTGTTCCCACACAAGCAGCTGCGTCTACACACAAATCACTTTTGGACATATTTCGATCCAGACAGCGGTAAGGACAAGCAAAGGTTAGTAACAAGCTGTCCCTCAACAGTGACACCAACAGTTACTATGGCAACAGCAGGACTCGTAGCAGGAGGTTGGTATTGATCTTTCCATCCCAGGTTCTTGGCATTTCTTCAGGGCGGTCTTACACAACGCTACCATAACCGACACTGTTTCGCATACCCGAGTTCTGAAGTTAACTGGAAACAATAGTGATGAAAAGGCAAAAGGGCATAATTATGGCTGTGTGGGGTCTCAGCACACAGAGAGCAGGCAGCAGAATTTTCATCAAAACAGCAAACTATGCTGGGCAGGGGGCAGCACGCACAGCCCTACCTCACGCGCCTTCCTTCTACATTTCAAGCTTTCTGTGCATTCTCCTCTGTGGCAACATCTGCCTGTTCTCAGAGTTCGTAACAGGATAGCCACTAACTCCTCGGTCGGGTATTCCAAAGAGAGGCATATAGCAAAACATGTTCTGTGCTTAGCTGAAACTGTTACATCACGTAGGCACAGTGCAGAACGGCACAGAGCCAACACAGACAAAAATGAGATTACTTACAACCATTAAAGAGATTTTTCAGGTTAACAAGGGCGTAGCTCCAGAGGCTCTCAAAATATATCACAGGACAACCAAATTCTATGAACGTGCTGTAATACGTTACATGAGAATAAGTAAGAGATTTTGATCAAGAAAAATATTGTTTCCAATAACAACATACAGCACAAAAACGTATCTAATTTGCAAATTAGAAGTTGGTATGTTGCTGCTACTCTATAAGCCTTAAATGAAAATACATTTTGAAGGTTTCACCTTCATGATTAACATCCCTTGTTAGACAGGCAAAATGGGAGGAAAACTGTTTAAAATACTGGAGTGAATTAAGAAAACCTTTCAGACCTTTCACAACGGTATTTATAGTGATTAAAGAATGAGCCAGAAGAGTTAACAAAATGTGGCCCCAGCTAAGAACAGAAGGCTGCTTAGATCAAAAAGAAAGAAGATAGAACATTATTCTTGTAAACGTGTAGATCACTTCAGCTACACGCACCCTACCTTCTCCCAGCTTTATATCGGCATCATAACATCTCTGTAATCCACTATGTTAGCATAAAGCTGAAGCAAGAAATCATTGGTATAGGAAAGTGCCCAATATTTTCAGAAACATTATAACTCACAATTGCAAAGTGATCATTAAAACAGCCTTAAGAAAATGTACTATGTTTTCCAAGGCAAATACAAAAGACAAAACCTGAAACATAATTTTTTGCATTAGTACAGAAATATTCTTAACAAAACTTTAACATTTATACTTAACAGCAATGAAAGAATATGCAAAGAACTGAACAATACCTACCAACTCTGTACATCAAGATAACTCCACCATAATCCAAATAAATTATAACAGTATGTGATATTTAAGAGCTCTGGGAACCCTGTTAATAACAAGTCTCCCATCATAACTTAAGGAGGCAAATAGCCACGGGTCTGCTGATGACCATTCAACTGCATATACACTATCTTCATGTTCTTCATAGGTAGCTATTATACTGTCCTGAAGGGGCTCTTTACTCCTAAATATTTAAAAAAAAAAAAATAAAAAAAATTAAAAAAAAAATTAAAAGAGTAAGGGTTTGTGAACACACCTGATTGAAAAGGTTAAATGTCACAAACACAGATAGATATGCAGCTCCTACTTAAAGTATAAGAATGCAACAGCAGGCTGCACTGAAACATCATTCAACACCTAATAATTGCATGCACTTATGTTTTAGATAACATAGCGGAGTCAAGTCAACGTTCAAAACGCCATTTGCTGGGACAAATTATCTGTTATTTTCAATTTCAGTAAAGTCTCAGGTCTCACAGAAGCAATACACTAAAACGTCTCTCCCTCTAAAGCAACTTAAACCATAGGGGCTGATCTAAATGCACTTAAACACACACTTTTTTCTCACCCTGCTCCACTCACCTCCCACACCTTTTTTGCCTTTTTTGTTAATTGAATTCTTAAAAGAACATAGAGTCTTAACAGACAAGAGCTGTTGGGTCAGAGGTTGCAGTATCTCCAAGGGACGATGCGTCTCCAACCCGTTATCTCCAGAGTAACGTAAGGAAGATGGAGGCACCATTCTGAACACCTTCCCACCTCTCTCCCCCATTCCCAGAGCTACACCCATCCCCCGACTCTCATCTATTGCTGTGTATCTCGCCTCTGACTACAACAGGCAAGTTCCTGGTTGTCAGCATCATGAGAGAAAGACAGATTGCCTTCTGTATTGCAAATATTTAAAAAGGGATGCAGGCTATTCTCCAAATTCCACAGCCCCCCAGACAGATTGACTGCCTTCTGCTAGCTGAGAGCTCCCCTTCCTTCCTCCGCTCACAGAGCTGGTCCCTCCGGTTAGAGGGGCAACCCTACGGTATATTATTCTGTAGCTACAGGGCAGGTGAGTTTTCAGAGGATGACCTTAGAGCTCTCTCTCACCCAGAGAGGATCACTCCTGCCTGACAGTCTCTGAGAAGCAGCCCCCTACCTCCCCAAAACGGATTTGTGTTACAGCTGCAATCCTCCCAGCAGAACGCGAGGACAGGGAACCTTGTGATGCCACTCAGCCATTTAAGCAGATTCTGCTGCTACAGAAATGAGTGTTGTTATTGGCAGTCTTTGCCCTTTACCACTGTTCTCTAAAAGATGAAAGCATGCATCTCTGCAATCACAAAATGCATATATGGTATTAAATCTGAATGGTTTGCAGGATATTGCTGGTCCACCTAGCCAGTCTAACTAGCCGTGAATCTAATACCACAATTAAAATTAAACTGAATTTAATGAATAAAACAGAAGCAGTCTAATACCGCAGAATAGCTCCTCGTATTTAGCTTCAAGGACTATTATCACTTACCTATGCTATGTTTAAGGCCAGCTAGCAAAAAAAGGTCATAGCACAAACACATAGCCTCTGGTTAATTAAGAAGAGCAGGACTTTTCTGCAGTTCTTCCGAATACGTACTTTGACACAAACCATCTAACAGCAGAGAGCTAATAAACATACACACACGCTTCGTCTCCTGCAATGTGTTTTTCTAACTTCCTGTTAACTGACATGCCTGGTTAAGTGAAAGTTGGTCACGTCCCCAGACAGCAATGTGCTTCACGCAGTGCTCACCCACTTACCCAGAACTCCATTATTCTGAAGGTTTCAAATGTCTCCCTGGATAAGCAGGGAGTAACGCATGGTGCACACTGCCATCAGGGGATACGACCGACTTTCAGTTAACCAGGAGTATCGGTTAACCAAAGGCTGGATAAACAAGGACAGATAAGCTTCTAGATTATGCTGTTTTCTCTATGTTCAAAGTTGTTCTGGCGTTTCATTTAAATAATACAGTTCATCTAATTGAATTTATAGAAGTCAGAGGGGAATGAGCGTTCAGGAAAGAAGCTTGCATTAGTAGATGAACTACTGTTTAGTATTCTGTTTACTACTACAATTTTTAACCCTCACTTATCATTGTCTACACAATGAATTTCTCCTTGGGGATGAAAGCAATTTTGTGCCTTTCCAAAAAAGAAAGCTATCCATGTGGTTCTTCAGGCCACATGAGTTCAGGTCCAGATCTATGATAACATTTTTTTTTTTTTTATAAACTATTTGTAAGAGATGCATAGCCTTGAGACATTTATTGAGAATCTGAGAAACCGTTTTATGCTAAGGGATCACTTTGATAAAGAGCCAGATTCTATAGAAGATAATCAGGAGGGAAAAAATAATACCAGAATTCCATGGCCTCAGTATCAATACAGAAGATCCAAAAGACCATATTTTGTCCCTGAGCATCCTCTACAAACACCCTGGATGAAAATAAATTAGCCTTTACATTACAAAATGGTTAATAAACCCAGTAAAAAGTAGAATTTAATTCACATATCTGAAAGATTGTCAAAAATTAAAAAGAAAAAATATCAGAAGTAACAAGGTTTTCTGTTTTATTTGGGGCATAGTTTTTGATTGTGTTTGGGTTTGTTTGTTTGTTTCTTCCTTTTGGGGGTGGGTTGGGGTTTCTTTTTGCTTTCTCATCACAGGAATTGGAAACCAGATCACTTGTCCCATGTTCACAGACTTCCAAAAAACACCTCAGTTGCGTGCGTGTGTGTGTCGGGGGGGGCGGGGGGGAGATATGGTAATCCAAGAATAGGCTGAGGATTTTCTTATTTTTATTTCTACATGAATCTACGATGCTTATAAATGTTCAGTTTCTGTGTCCCAGGACTGACATTTTAACTACTTACTCTCAATGAATTCAAAGTGGACTGGATGCTGGGATAAAGCTGGCAGATCCTGGGCAGGGTTTAGGAAAGTGAGGAGAGTTCAGGACCTTGAATTCTCTCTCAGTTAGGGAAGTTCAGAAACAGGAAGAACACCAGTAGAGGTAGATATAGGTAAACTTTCTTCCATCCTGCTTTTAATATGTATAACTCAAGTTGCTGCCAAAACATAGATTTGTTTTCACATACAATCTTCAGGTTATAGATGTAAAAAATGTAGTTGCTATGCTATGACTAATTTAGTGCAGCACTGGTGTAGGTGTTTGGCCTATTGATTCCTTGATATAGCACTCCAGCTAGACTATATTTTGACGATGAGCATACTTGCTAATCACTTGTTAGGCCTGGTAAGCTTGGTTAGCTATTTTCTTCCTTGAACTTTTTAAGGCGCAGGAAGGTTTAGGACCTTTAGTTTCTGGTTCTCCTGTATTATTTAAAGGACTTTTTCTGGATACACTTAACCGCCCTTCTTTTTCTTTATATATGTTCTTGTAGAGCATCAATGGACAAGCATCAGCCTCTTAGATGGACAAGTGCTCCTAGTAAGAAACGTGTAATCTCTGTCTACATCCTCCACAAATTTAAGACATCCTCCACAAATGTCCGACTGAGAGCTGAAGCCAGATTGCTTTCTCTTTGCAGTCTTACTCATATAGCATGACCCCTACCAGCTTCTCCCGTGAAAGGAAAAGACTTTTCATTTTACTAGATAACGTTGAGGTTAATTGTGTTACAGACTTGCGAGAGAAGCCTGTTAAGCCTTGGATAATTGTTTTCATGTAGAGAGCTGTTATTTCCAATTACTGCTTGTGCTAACAACCACTTAAGTTTGCAGTGCTTGCAATTCTGTTTTGTCATCATAATGTTCAATAAAATATGTTTTTTCAGAGTCCCGAAAAATCATTAATTCCTTATCACATACAGAGTTAAGTCCTCCTTAATCTAAAAATTACTATAAAATAGATCTGATTCAGTAGAGCAACAACATGTATTGCAGTGTTCAAAATGAAACCCAAAGACTAAATGCATATCACTGGATTCTAAAACAAGCCCTGTGGATGCCTTTTCCCTTTAACTGCAGAAAAAAAAACTTAGCAACTGTAAGATTTTATCAGTGGTAAGCTCAGGTAACACACTGCTTCTTTTCCTCTATTAAGGAAGAGAGAATTCAAAGATTTTTATACCGGAACTCAATTTATATATACAACAAATAGCTATTCATATTATTATAAGCATTATTGGTTTTTTTTACACAAAAAATCCGGCCCTCTGAGCCACTTCTTCAGGGAGAAAAACATCTTTCAATACAGGAGATACTTATTTTAATATAGCACGTTTTTAAACTTGTCCTAATATGTAATATAAATTAAGGAGGGTATATCTCCTGAGCTGAGTTTAAAAAAAAAAAAAAAAAAAATTAGGGAAAAACTACACAGTCTTTAAAGGCAAAATACTCTAGGAATTGGAAACTGCTGCTTCCCTGGATTTGGCTGAGCTTAGCTAGCATCCTACCAGTAAAGCCCAAAACACATTATTCTGCAACATAGCAATTTAAGCTGTTTTAATTAACTGAGTCTGTTGGGTGACTCTATAGTGTAATCCTGTGATTTCTAGATTTCTCCAAGACACAAATACCACAATAAAACTATCACCAAAATTAACACTATTAGCAGCTGTGTGAAAATACCCTGGAAGCCTGCCTTATTAAGGCTGTTTGGCAAATACTTTTCAATGTATTACTGTTGGCAAAGTCTGCTCTCCTGAAGTCACAGATGTGTATGTACACGAGTTACGTTACACCACACAGTTCACACACATTACAATGTGTGTATCCATTCACATTATTTACTACTCAAACGGCCCCAAAACACATCTATCACAAAAAGTATTAACCACCACGTCCTTTAGACAGAATTTGGAACGAAAGCTCTTTCTACAGAGAGGCCAGGCATCATTTTCTCTCTGGTGCATCCCGATTGCTGAAGATGCTTCTATACTTGAAATCTCATGTAAAATTTCACTACCTCAACAAAATACTCTGTACTGAGAAGACCAGTTCTCTACATCTCTCAGCTTTAAATGCAAAATAGGGAGAAATCCTCTGCTTCGATCTTGCCCTGTTCATATAAAAAGGACGGTGTACCTAAAATCTATGGTGAGAAAGACAGAAACATCCCCAAAAGCATACGAGTTCAGAAAAAATACTGATAAATTTCCTAATACGAATTTCTGGCACAATCTTCA